CGTAACCCTTTGTTCCAGATGCGAAAATCCCGCATGTTCCTTGTCAAGACGCCTTAGTTGGCGCTTGGGGTCGTTATGGTGTGTCCTTGTCGAGCAATCCGGGCCTCTCATGCCATATGAGATGGAGCATTCGTGAACCGAGATACGATCACGTGCTGCTTGGTGTATGCCGAGTTACAGTCCGGTTCAAGAATATTTTCCTGGGTCCAGTAAGCGATTGGCCAATGGCTCCCGCTATTGGTACCTCAGTGGAAATGCCACCAGGCAATACACGGGCCAACCTTGAGAGTCTCTAGGTTCCACTCCCTTCACCTCGAGCTATGGTCAACCGTTACAAGATGCACTGACCAGGCCCTGGAGAATAAGCAGTATCGTCGCCTGCGGTTGGGCATCGCTGTCTCCTTACGCACTAGTACGCCATGTGGTCACGGTACTTCGGGCATTTCTCATTTCCTACGCTACATGCTCGACCCCAAATTTTCCGTTTGTGGTCACGCTAATCAACCTGTGTAGCATCACTGAGCTTCACCGATGGTGCTCGGCTGTTTTTTGCGTCCACTAGAGATCCTCACCTTTACCGCTTGGCTGACACACAACATGCCGGTCTTTCCACTACGGACTCGAAACGCTGTTGGCCAGTCACCTTATCTTGTTCTGCTGCAGACATGCGTCTTCGCCTTCGCACCTGGTCACCCAGCATCGCCACTGGGATGGAACGCTAGCAACATCCGCATGCATGTTGCATAGCACGGACTGGGTCCTTCATTCAGCTGATCGATATCCCCACTCAACGGCTGACTATGCCCGTGGCCGGTCCGTTGTTGACGGACTAGGCCCTGCACGCTGACAGGCATTCCTATCCTAGATAACAGGATGGCGTGAAGTTAATGCGGAACCTAAGCCGCCATCGCATATCACGGTAATCATCTGGGCCCCCGGACACACACTAGAACCAGCCAAAGCATGCCCCATCGGAGATCCTCTGACGTGGCGAGCGGTATATGGTTGAGCAAAGGAGAAGCCGTATCCCTGGCGATGTCTCGCCATCTGTCATAGCTTTTACGAACACATCCGCGTTGGCTCGCCTGCCTTTCCGCTCATACTCAGCGAGGGATGCCTCCACCGGGCCTATGGGAAGGTTTTCTTCACTAGAACCGTCTTTACCGGTGAGCCCAAATGGATGGCAAACAAGGCTTGAGCTATATTGTGTAGTCAATGCAGTGGCAACATGATGCAGTGTGCTTTCGTAATTCGACTCAACCAGTCTGCCTTGCCGTCGAACAAGGCAACAATTCCACATTACCGAGCCAATTGCTTGCTCTCAGTTAGATTGAGCTGTAAAATCATAACCATCTTCTTCAACTGTGTTCTGGGCATCCATGACAGGAGTGCGGCAAAGTGAGCGTACATCGAGTGATGCAGAAAGCGAGGTGTCCTTGTGGTGTCATCCGGCCCAACGACGGACTTGCGTCGTGCACGGAACCACACACCAGCCATCACAATTAACATGACAACTGCGGCCACTGCTGCGACCATAAGTAACCTTGCAAATAGTTGCGCAATCAATCGACCCGTTGCTGATTCCACCTCTTTTGGGTTTCTCTGACGCTGTGACTTGGCCTCTTATGGTCCTGGCATGCGAAAATGCCCAGAATTGCGCTCCTTGAGTACGCAAACCTCAGTCTCATCAAGGCTCGACGTTGGAATTTGCTACGCGGCACTCCGCGCATACTTCTCGTCATGTGAGAGCAAGGCGATGCTGGGTACGCCGCGAGTACATGGGCAGCGATGGAACTAGATGGCAAGTCGCACGCAATTTTGATCCCGAGACGAGCGAGTGCTGTGCTTGTGTGGGCCGGAGCTGCGGTCACCGGCGCTCTTTGTGCATGACGAGGCTAAGCTGTGTGGAGGCGGATTGGTGGGCGCCGCTTCACGGTGGGTCAAGTCGTTCTGGCCAGCCAGGTTACATGTCCCCGCGTAAGAAGAATATGGTTGGTCAAGGCGGATGAGAACGTTCATGTATGCCGAGACCAGCGCAGACTGGATGACGAAAGATTGCCTGGGAGGACATCACAAATCACTCCACGGGTCACACGTCTTAGTCAAAGCAAGGTATTCGATGACGGAAACAGAGTGAAGCGTGACATGAAGAATAAGCTACGACAAATACCTGAAGCAAGTGTGGCAGTAGATGGCGGCCACCCCGTGCAAAAGGTGAAAAGACCGAAGTGGCGGGACCTCAGGCTGTAAGCCCTGCCTTGTCTTCGCTTGACCACCGAGAGCATGTGCATGGCACTGGCAGGTTTCGCTCGAGCACGGGAAACTGTTGCATGCAACCAACCTCTAGCCGCATATGCACAAAGGAGGAGGGATCAGGGGACAAGCTCATGGTCTGGCTGATGCCGTGGACATCCTTTGGCTGGCCACTATACGAGCAGCCTGTCAGACCGATGAAGGCGTGCAGACACTGACAAGAGACAAAGAAAGCAGAACTTTAGCGACGATGTGTTGTTCATGCGAAGGATGCGGAAGGATGGTGTTACGCATGAATCTGGCTATCGTAACCGTGTTGGGTCGCTGATATGGCCGGACAACAATGTGCTGATCCGGAAAAACATCAACAAGCAGTGATTGGGGCTGCCAAAGGCTATATGCCGTGCACGTGGCTTCCACAAGAAAAGCGCCGGCAACAAGGCATACGCAAACGAGTATTCGAGAACCTACCTTTGCCTGATGACGCAGAAAGAGGGGTATGCCCAGGCGAGCCTCTATGCATTTCTCAGTTTCAGATGGCGGCAGTTACTGCTGATATGGTCGACCAAAAGCGGCTGAACGTCGCACGCACTGAACATGACACTCGGTACCAGCAATTGGAGACATACAAGCTAGGTATGTGGGGCGAAAGTGACCTACGACATCGCACCTTACTCCAAATTAGTGGCCTATCCGCATCAGATAAATGGCCGCCGGCGACATAACTCTGAAGCAGTATGATGCTCGCAAAGCTACACCTATAACAAAGGCAAAAATCGCCGCATTGATCCAATTGGCAGGAGTTACTACCATGACAAGGATATGCCCACACGATCGGGGTGTAAGGTGCGTTGGTTGCATCGTCCTTCAACCGAATGAGCGGTGACGAAACCGTAGCAAAAGGACCGATATGACATGCACGGTAAGCTCAAACCCACCAGTGTAAGTGTGGGGAACAAGGAAACGAGAACAACAAAGAAATAGCAGTAGAGCCTATGGAACCAGAGGGATAGCACACTTTGTGCGACAACCCCGTTGCGGCCGTCATCGCGACCCAGCGCTTGACGAAACGTCGTTTCCCTACGCGCCCACAACACTTTGACGTAAACAACAACAACATGGGCGGAGAGGAAAATGAACAAGCACTATCATGCTGCAAGTAGTTGAGCCATTAGTTCGGAAGAGAGTCCGCACTTGTCAATTGCGTGCGCAGCAGCGTGCGTCATTAGCTTCATGCTCAACATCTAAGCGAGCGAAGGAAAATAACCTAGCCCGATTACCGGCCACTGGCATGACAATGAGCGACGGCGCCACATTATCAGATCCAGAAAACCCGAGTGCGAGTAGAAAGTGGCTCTCGCGGGGCTTCTGTAACGTGCAGCTAGCCCTATTAGTTGGCCGTAAGGCGGGAAAAGTCGGGTGATGGTGATGTGTAATTAGCACTGTGGGAGAATTCCAAGGCCTGTGCATGAGAGAGGCAGTGCTTTCTAGGTTTGCAATACACCCTCAGTTGCTAGTCAGCTCGGAGGGCGTTCTGGTCTTTCACGTGAATAGCCGTTGAAAGGATGAAAAGACTGGAGGCGAGGATCCGAAAGAAGGCTGGGAGAACAGAGTGGAGTCAATCTAGAAGCGTGTTCATGTACGATGACGGTCTGTGGGTAAGGCCTCAGAGGAGTCCGTGTTCAACAACCAAATCTCAATGGGTTAAGCTTGATGTAACGATGCCTGCTGGAAGTCATACACCGCGAGGCATACCCAGACAACCTGGATATAATGCCCGATTGTAAACTGCGCCATTGCAGTCTAGAGCACCTCGAATAATCATGTCTACCACGACTCATGATCGCAGACATTGACTCATCGACCAGCAGGTCTTCAGAAGGGTATTTCCCTGATATGCCTGTACGTACATTTCTCCAAAGAGAAGACCCGGACACAAACGAGCGGTGAAGATAACCACGTACCATCTTTTCAGAAGAGGTTGGAGATTGGGCGTGTGTATGTCTTGGCACCGTCTTGCTCCGCGTCAAAGCGGTATTCTCCGACCAACCACCGGCTTGCGATGTGCTGCTGGCTTCTTATCCTGGATTCCTTTGCCTCTGTGTTGTTCAAAGAGGCACCAAGGCACATCCCTGACCAATTGCCAGCTTAACATTGTACGCGTGGAGCAGTCGCGCAAGCTTTCTATGCGACGCGTCGAGTCTAGGGGATTCCCAAAGTCGCCATGCACCCGGCTTATAGCTTGCCGATTATGCCTAGTTTTCTAACCTCATGATCACCTAGACCACATGATCAGACAGTATACGTTGTGTCTGGCAATCGAGCAGCGAGTATGGGAGGTCGATTCGGGAGGTGAGTGGACGCGTTGTGAGGTCAAAGGTCGGGCCTAACTAAGGTAAATTCGTGAAGATGTGTGGAGCCGCTCAGGCAAGACATATAGGCTTGCATCGGTAGCAATGGCAGTAGGCAGTACGATTGCTTGAGCGATGTTGTAGACCGCGTTCGCGTAGGAGACAGGGGGCGCGTTCGATGTTCCAATGTCATTGATGACTAAGTGGCCTGCGGCTCTATCTCGGTCCGGAAATAACTTCATCTCCGGCGTCCAGATCGTCTTCCATGAATCCAACTGGACAACACTTTGGGAAACACCTCAAGATCAGCGATAAACAGTATGAGAAATAGATACAGATTAATCATAAGTTCAGAAATACATAGCTCAAAGCCGCCAATGCTTCAGCTGGTCTGCCTCAGAGCTCATCGTGGCCCTCCGCATTCACCTCACATAACCGCCCATCCTTGGTCTCCACCAACGCCTCACTCCCAACGCATCTGCGGCACCAAAGTACGTTCTTTGGATCGGCCCTCCTCTTCACTGCCCTCAACATCCAATACCTTTCGCCCCAGAACGCTTGCTGCCATTCCGGCTCATAGCTATCCCCTTCGTTGAAGTATGCGCCAGTGTCGGGGCTGAGTTGCCGCAGTGCCTCGGTTTTTCTGCGTGTGATATCTGAATACACATCATCGATGGTGGCTTGGGATGCAGTGTCACCGAACGGCGATGCGACGATAAGGTGCGTGAGAGTGTTCCGCCATGCAGGGTTAAGACTGCTTTGAAGAGGGTAGTAAGCTGGTTCGTTCGGTGCGCCTATCATGTGGCCGATGAGGAGTGGGTTAGTTACTGGTCCCTATGGGTATGTTAGCCAAGATCACAGATGTCAACCGGAGCTAGGTTCTTTACATTTGGCTCAAAGGCATCATCGGTTGGGCCGATCTTCGAAAATACGATCGCCGTCAGGTGTGGGTTCGCCAGACTCTCAGCACTGAGCAATCTCGACCCATATGCCGAGCCACCATTTGCGACTTGCTCGTTCGTGAAATTGGCTTTGTGCATCTCCAGGTACGTATCCGTGTGCGATATTACCGACTGCCATTCAAAAATCTGCTTCCGCTCGTGCAGATACGCTTCGATAGGTTCCATGAGTAGCTCGACCGTTCCGCTTGCAGCGTTGTAAAGTAAGAATGTCCAGGAGAATGATAGCGTAGGAACGATAGGCGGTCCCACAACCAAGTAATACCCTTGCATGCCGCCTTCTTTCAGCCGCTGTATCTCTGCGTGCAGGAAGCCCAAGAACGCATAGAAACCAGTGCTTCTGCCTGGGTGTTTGAAGCGGACTTGGAAGGTATGCGCAGTAGTTCTCGGGGTTGGAAAAGTGCGAACGACGACTTCAGTGATGATGCCGAATGTGCCGCCACCTCCGCCTCGTATAGCGAAGAACAATTCTTGGTTCTGACATGGGTTTGCGAGGACGACTTCCCCATTCGGTGTGACAATGGTGGCCTCAAGCAGGTTGTCGGCCCCCATCCCGTAGCTGGTCGAAAGCGGCCCATGACCACCGCCTGTGAGCCACCCAATGAGCCCAACGCTGGGGTTGGCACCTGTTACAATCGCCATTCCGTGCTGAGCTACTTCTTCTTGAACTTCAATGTTCGTGTGGCCAGCTGATACACGCACAGCGGTCAATGAAATCTCGGAAGGGCAAGACGCTGGACTGAACGATGCAACGTAATTGATGCCGCGCATATGGTGAGTCCATATACTCAGGGTGCCATAACCAGTGCTGCGACCTTGGTATGAGTGTCCAGTCGCCTTTACGACAACGCGAATGTTCCTTGCACTTGCCCAAACCAGAGCTATGCTGACTTGAGAAGCAGTGGTGGCATTCACTACGTAGGCGGGGTAGTTGCCGATATTACATCCCTGCACTTCAGCATGTGGATTACCGGTGATGCTAGTTCCGTTTGGAAAGATTGGATTGCAAGAGTCGTTTGCCCATATAGGGTAGTCGATACTGACGGGATGCGCAGCGTGATATGACGAGTTAAACCACTGCGACGTCACGCAGTCACAAGCTTCTCGATCGAACTCCGGCCTCGACGGGTAACAGACTGCTCCCGGTGGAACGCTGCGGATAAGTGCGCCGTCAAGTGTCGTGTTGAGGTCGCTCCATTCGTTGATAGAAGGCCAACAAGCATCACCGGGTGTCTGGTACATGCATCAGCATTGCTCAGTGGATGCGTGATCTCAACTCACACATTTGCACGGCTGTTCAACCGCGTCGCTGTGCGACGAAATGCAGAGAAGGCAGAGAAAAAGCGTATATAATCGCATATCCCTGACCCTTCAAGCAGGCAGCTCAGCTTATGTCAAGCTTCAAGTTATTCGATAAGTCCTTCTCAACTGCCAAAAGTCGTACAGCAGTTGCAGGAAACCTTGCCAGCGCAAAGGTCAGCGGATCAGCCAGATCTACTTAGAGTTACCGCGCAAGATGATGGTAATAAAGGTGATCGAGATTTTCCGTTGCTGTTAGGCTGGTCGATTCTCAAATGTCGAAAGAAGGAAATTGATAGCAGCTGGTGCGGCAAAGATGTTGACAGCGAGCAACGAAAGAAAGTGATGAATGTTGAAGAAAAGAAGACGAGATGCAGAAGTCAGACAACGTTTGATGTTCAGCAATCCATATCCATTCCGTAAACCTGGAATGGCTGACAAGCCAAGCCTCGGTGAGGGGCAAAACACGTGACGAGCCCCGATTATATCGATCCTTCGTCTTATCCTAAGAAGGCTGTCGTTGCGAATAGACGCCCGATATGCGAAATTTCTGATGGACATCGAACATCTCATCTAAGGGTAGTGTGATGTAGAGAGCCATTCATCTGCTCCCATCGATGTGCGTAGCTGGCCTGCCAGGCTGCGCAAGTCATGCCAACATTGTAGCCACTTCGATCATGGCACAATCCATCGCCTTGGGGGATATCGCTCGTGCAAGATACAATGTCTCCTTTTAGCTCCATATTTTCGTACTTCCATCATGCCAGCAGGTGGTCGTAACGACGCCGCGATGACCTTCTAGAGAAACGTGTCAGCATCGAGCACCTGTCGTCGCATGAGAAGTAAATACCTCGAGACCTATCTCAAGCAGGCCTTCGATGCTTCTTACTCAGTCTCCTCCGCGCGCGACTCGGCTTGCGCACTGGTATTTGGTCGTGGCTCGGTGCTAGAATAGGTCGTTCGGCGGCATGCATATCGCTACCGGCTACACTTGCCCCATCCCTCAACGCACGGCGCTCCTCATCCTGAACCTGAATATCGAAGAACGATGTTCTCCAGTTCGTCTGTTCCTCTGGCATACCCCCCGAGCTCCTCACCAGCACGCGCCGCGATCGCTGCATGTCGCTGACGTCCGGCTCTTTCCGGAACAAAGCATCGCTGAAGATGCGCTTAAAGAATTTGGGCATGTTTGTTTGCTCTACTTTGCGAAATGAAAGATATAGCCGCAGGAAGGATGATATGCAGGGACTCGCGGGATGCGACAGGCCTTATCAAGCCCGTGTTGATGTTTGGGTGGCGAAGATGAGGGCGGCAATTGCGGGGGCCGATACCCCTGTTGTGAGAGGATGGGCAGCGCCATTGGCCAGTAGAAGAGGGTCGTAATGTTGATCTTGAACGGGCGTGACCAACTCTCTCCTGGACGCGTCAACGGAATTTTGCTTCCCGTGCCTTCGCCCGCTTCACTGAAGATGATTGCGTTTCCAAAACGCGCATCTAGCGTCTTGCGCGTATTCGCTCATGTTCAGCTAACGATACACGCGCCTGGAACAGCTGTTGCCCACAACAAGTATCATCGCGCATCAAGTTTTGGAGCCAGCTGCAACGATGTCACAATGATCGGCAGAACGAGGTGTTTACTAGTACCTATAGTTCTAACAAAGCGTCTGGATGCGGACGAACCCCAGTTCATGTGACGATAAGGAAGCCCGAGCACCAGCCGTCTCATTTTACGACTGGCTTGATGCTCAAAACATACTCTCCGGGTCGTGATTCCGTTTATTGACGCTGTTTCATCCCCGACGCCTTTCTTTCTGTTCTTCTATCCTCTTCATACACTCCTCTTCCGAGCAGTCGAACCAATCACCAATGTCGCTAATGTACCACCTAATAGGGCCTCCAGCTGACCACTGGTCGCACTCACAGCCTGGTCGAGCGCATGGTCCATATGTGCGATTTCCATAAGCTTGGGTACTTGAAACCAGGAAGCCTTGGGTCTTCAGACGATAGACCACCGGGCAGATTGCCTTGAGGTACTCGGACCAGTTGTCGGATACATCCCAATGAAAGGCAATGTGCAGTTTGAACCCCTCCTTCCGCGCAACACTTTGTTCTTCCAGCAAGGTAGAGAGGGACCGACATATTTGTCGAATGTGTACTGCTTGACTAGATGGCCTACTATGTCCGGTTAAAAAAGACAACGACGCGGGACCAATGACAACTGCCAGCCTTCGAAGGAAATCGCATGTGCGGACCGAGGGTGACCAGCTGTCATATAGGACCCCATCGTCGTCTTGCAGTAGTGGCTGCAGGAGCTTTATATCGACCGAGAGATAAGCGCTCTTATACCAGACTTCTGCAGCTTCGCGCGCAAACTCAGGGCCGACCTCTTCTTCCAGCATCCAGTATGGCGGCTCATATGCTTTGATCATAGGTACAAACTCATACAAGGAGTCGTGGGGATGCTTGGAGTTGTTGTCGACAATCTCGTACGGTTCGTCCTGACTTCCGTGGTATAGCTCTCCGCGGTATAGCTCCGTGTAGATCATGTCCCGGAGCTCACGTGGTAGTTTCTCCAAGACCGCATTTGGTAGCTCTTGTATAACTTCTCGACACTGCTGATCGCGCTTCGACAACAAGAGTCTATAACTGTCAGTATGGATGATTATGCCTGTTCAATCTTGTATAGCTTACGTGCGTATGGCAAGACGTTTCGCGCCCAGCAACCGTAGGTCATCATCCGCTAAGCGGGCTTGTTCGTGTTCCCTGTCTTCGGTCGTGTGTATGCTGGTAGTCAACGTCAGTCAATTGTCCATTTATTAGATGTCGGGTCGCTTACTCTTCGTCGACGTTGTTAAGGGCTGCCTTCAGGCCCTCAACAGTATCGGGTATCTGGAAATCGGACAGAGGCATGACTGGATCAGCGTCGTGGCGTTGGCTATGAGTTCAGCGGATGGGGAGCAGAGGTGGTAAGGCTGCAAAGAACGACTTGCGTGTTTGCGAGAAGAAGTCGGGAACCAATCACAATTCTGCACTAACCCAGAAAGGCAAAGCGTGACCTGACCCAGTGCGTCTTCACTGAGAGCATTGCGCCCGACGTCACCTGTTTATCAGGCACTTTACGTGAGCTAATATGGATTGGATAGGCCTTAAAAAGCCACCTTGTGACAAACACGCTAAAGAAATCCTATAACGCAGGAGAGAGAATACCTTTCATTCGAAATGTAAATTACTAGCCCTCCACCGCGCGCAATCCCGCTGCCATCTATCTATCTTTTGTCGTTTGACCCGCATATCGGCAACACTAAAGCTATCATGTCCTTGTACCTGACCCAAGAACTTACGCTTTTCCACCCCAGAGGAAGAAGCTGGAGCTGCGGGATCTATTGTTGACGCTAATTCGGTAGAGGAGTAGGAGCTCTGGCTTCCATTGGGCTTGCTCAATATGACTACTCCCTCTGGGGTATCATCCTCCTCGGATCGAGGCTCGGGTCCATCTTGCGCCGGTGTTGCTACGTTGGTATCGACATTGTTGTTCGCGGATAGTGCTGACGGTTGAGCGGCTTCTATTCTCTGAACCCCAACGTCTAGCGCGCTTACGACACTCCCAGTACTGTCGTCATCGTCACTGGAGCTCGCATCATAGAACGTATCTATCGTATGAATAGACGGCGGAGTGAGAACACCCGCATCGACATGACGCCAATTGTAAATGCGCGCCCGGTCCTTATCATTCCATGGCTTCATCATCGCCTCCAGATCATCGATATCCAGATATGGGTTAACATTTGCTTCGATCTGTTCGTCCGGAACGGTGAAAACGTTCACGTCCATGGCGCGTCTCTCTGCCTCATGATACGCTTTCTCCGCAACGCGTAATGCGTTTATGAGTTCTTGTCCCTTTTTGATGAAGAAGCGGGGAAATTGAGCGGCAAGTTCACCCTCGGGTTTGGTCGGGTACTGTGCGCAATATCTAAGGAATGTAAGTTCGTAGCATTTTCGGTGTTTATCGTGTGCGTGGTCAGCTTCGCTGAAAGCCTTCTTTGTTGCGAGGAGTTTGAGTCTTATCTCATCTTCTGCTGTGAATCGAGTTATGGTGAGATCAGGGGGCTTGCTTTGGCGGACCTCCGCATTCCGGGTTGTGGTATCCTGCTTTGCCTTGTTACCGGTGTACAGCACCATAGCCATCTCGTTTCCCTCCACCGGCTGCTGTGCATCTTTCGCTGCTGGGGGACTAGATTTCCTTTCCGACTCTTTTGCGCCACTGGCTTCTTCACCTGGTTCAGACTCAGCGCTCGATGTTTCTCCATCTTCGCTGTCCCCATCTTCTCCTTTGAATCCTGCTT